TAACACCCAAATCTAGGTGAGCCTTGGCCACTCTTGTAGGTTTAGGTTGCAGATTATATGTCTGAGTTTTTATTCTTTATATGTAATTTAAAAGCAAGCTTTTCTTTGTAAAAACTTCTATTGAATTTCAATAAAGTTAAAAACATGGCCTTACTGTTAATATTTAAAAAAAAAAAGGAATTTTAAGAGTAAAATCATAAGATTTATTGTTAATAGAAAAAATTATATAAAATTCAATAGCTGCAAAAATATATTTAAGTCATATTTTTTGTCTTTCAACAAAATCTTCAGAATTTACTTTTTACAAAGAATTTTATTTGAATTGAATTTCATTTAAATAAATTATACTTAAAATTTGTTAAATTTTTGTGATCGAAGTTTTATGTATTTGATTAGTAAATATTATATAATAAACTTTTAAGTCAATTTTTATATTATATTTAATAAATTATATTTATAAATACAATATTTATTTTTTATACAATTATATTTAAATTATTTATAAATTTTATTATAAAATACATATAAATAAATATATACTCAAGAATGGATTCTCAAGATTCTAGCTCAAGTCTTTAAAGAAATATATACATCAATAAAAGTAATAGTGAAAATCTATTTTCTATTATGAATACAACAACAATACTAAGAAAAAAAGAAATAAAAGTAAAACAAGCTTTGTGTAAAAATACTTTAACATAATTAGAAATAAAGACATTTGTAAAGCTATAGTAAAAAAAAAAGATGAAGACAAAAAATGTAAATGTAAATATACTCATAATGGTTTAATATCAAATATGATTGCTTATCTAAGATTATCACATAATATTGTAGATAGCAAAAAACTAAAATCTGAAACACAAATACAAAAAGTTAACAACTACATTACCAAATTTGATTTGACTTAATATTCTATATAAAGGTGATAAACTAAAAAAAATAAATAGAGCAGTTATTGAATAGATAATTCTTGATAATGAACTATTGTTAGCATCAAGAAAAAAGAGATTTCACTAAATAATAGCAAAAATTGATCCAAAGTTTCATTCTTCTTCTGATAGAGTAGTAAGAAATGAAATAGCATTATGTTTTTTGAAAAATATTAAGATTTTTTGGCATGAAATATTATCAACTTGTAAGACAGCTACAATAACATCTAACTTATAGACTTTGTGTAATAAACAAGGCTATATTAAAATTCTTGTCACTAGATAACTTCTAACTGATCATTGCATAGTATATTATTGTGCTTTAAAAAAATGCCATACCTGCATATAGCAGAATTTATGTCACAGTTTCTTCAAAAAAAATGCTTAAAATTCAATTTAAAAAATAAAATTACATGCACTATTACTGATAATGGTGCCAATATGGCAAAGGCATTCGATTATAAAATAATATTATCTGGCTGCTATATGCTATACATACTTTGCAGCTAATAGTTAATTATGCTTTACAAAAAATTTGTTTACAAACAAAAAAAATAAAAAATTATTACACTTTTTTTATTTACTAAAACAACAAGAAATATTAGAAAAAGCTTAAATAAAAGTAATAGAAAAAGACAATTTATTTTTACTATTTTGTAAATACTAAATTTTATTTTAAAGATAAAGAAACCAGTGAAGTTAACAATAAAGATACAGATTTGAAGCTATCAAATATAAATACTACTTCTAAACCACTTCATCTAGTTAAGAATTGTCCAACATAATGGAATTCTACATATCATTTTTAAAAAAAGATTATTAAAACTAAAAGATGCAATAATCTGGTTAAAGATTAATTTAAAAATTTTGCATAGTTTAAATGATAAAAAAGATTGAAAAAGCCTTAAACAGTGCTTATCTAATGAAAATAAATAGAAACTAGTTGAAGAATTAGTTAAAATTTTTGAACTATTTGAAATAGCAACTGAAGTATTTAGTGCTGAAAAATATCCTATGTTATTGGTTGTATATTCTATAATTGAAGTTCTAAAATCTGAATTTGAAAAAGATCCAAATTCAACTCTAAATAAAAATAATTTTGATAAAGAATACTGTAATTAATATAATAAATTATTGTTTTATATTTGCTACTACATTACTATTAAATATTAATATTTATCTTTTACAATAAATATAAATAGCAATAGTAGTGACAGTGAAAATGAAAAGGTTTAGAAGATAAAAACATGTAATGTTTAATCAGTAATTGCTTAAATTAAATAAGCAATTTATAATTCACTTTAAAAATATTGAGATGAACCAAAATATGCTAGTTTTTTGGCAACTCTACTAGATTCAAGGCTTAAAAAAATGCATGCTTTATCTAATTATTTTAAAAATGAAGCAATTAAAGTATGCTATAAAGAACTTAATAATATTATTATCAATGTACCATCTGTACAATTCACAGCATTTTTGGTATAACTTTAGCAAATCATTAATTTGCATCAATATTTGTTGATAAAGATGATAATCTATTAAATGATAATGAATTAGACAAATATTTAGATACTGATAATGTCCTATCAGAAACTCAACCTTTGGTATAGTAGAAAAAACAAGAAAAGATCTTTCCAAAATTAAGTAAGTTAGCAAAAAATACTTATTTATTCTAGCCACCTTCTTTTTAAGTAAGCGCTTATTTTCTAATGCAAAAAATCAAGTAACATCAAAGAAATCTTGTCTTAATCCAAAAATCATTTCTCAAATATTATTTCTAGAAAAAAATAATGATTTAATTAGTATAACATAAAAATTAAAGCATATTAAAACATTTGTATTCTTACATATTCTTTTTTTCTCAATTTACTACTACAAAATGCTATATAAAAGATTTTTTTATATTTTAGTTCCTTTATGAATTAAACCCAGGTCTATAATATAGGATAAAATTTTGATAAAATATACAAGATATAGATATAGATAGTGGTAAAATTCAAAAATAGAAATTTTAATAATAAAAATAATATATAGTAATCATTGTTATAATTTTTTTTTTTGAATTTTACTATTATTTATACCTTTAGATCTAAATATATAGATTTTAAAATCAGTAGAATATAGCAGACCCAGATCTTTTATATGGCACTTTATAGTACTGCATGTATTTTAGAATATAATTATAAATTATAAATAAATAAATATTATATAAATAATGAATTTTCATGAAAGTATTGTATTGTTGGGTTCGGAAGTTTGTGACTCTGTCACTCTACAATTCAAAACCTTGTGTAACATATAATAAGTAACCTTTTCGAAAGAGGGTGTTAGATTTGGCTTGTGAGCAGTTAAGGCTTTTGGTCACTTTGGGTCAACGAATACAAGTATGGTAAGTCACATGTACAAGAACTTAAATGAACGACGATGGTTATTGGAGTTTACAGGATTTATGCTGAGTATAGTGTTAGGGTTTTTATTATGGATGATACAATGTATTGGGACTTGTTTATTGATCAAGCAAATGAGACATGTTGTCTCTTAGGGCCATTTTGGCCTTTATTTATAATACCTTTTTACTTATAACTTCATTAATTACATTTATCTCTTTAAACTCTTTAATTTGATTCCTCTAATTTATTCACTTAAACTTATTTACTTAATAAATCCCCCTTATCTAATTAATTCCCTTTATCTAATTAATCCCATTTCCTTGATTTATTTAATTAATCACATTAATGTGATTAATTGTCAGGATATCTAAATCGAGAAATTGATCATCATATCTGTTCTTATGTGAGGTTCCGGCAGAGTATTTACATCACATTATCAGGCCTCACAGTATATAAGATCAAGTTAGATCTAAGAATACCAGTATATAAGTTTTTAATTTTTAGTATACTAAAAATATTTCTGTATGTTGAAAATATTAAAATATTATTTCTTGTAATCTTCTGTGATAATTTAATTTTTAGTCAAATTTTTATTATTTAATTATGGCAAAAATACTGTTTCTGATAAAGTATAAACTAATATTGATTTATATATATGTCACTTTTAATATAATGTAGTACCTCAGGCACATAGTAAGAAATTTTTTAAAATCTACTTTATTGTGAGTTTTATTAGTAAATTCATTATATCAAGCAGTATTTATTATGATGTAGATTTGAATCTTGATCCACTATATCAAGATTTTACTTAGTCTCCTTGTATCAATAGTCCATTATATTTTTTTTTTGGTATTAAGGTGAGGCTTTGCTCATATCTTTATTAATAAATAGTCTATTATATCAAGAGTGACATGTACCATTTTTGATAGAAAATATAGTACTTAAATAAATTTTTTTTAACTTCAGAATTAGTATCAAAAATCCATTAGGAATGGTAAACTATCCCAGGATTACCAGAAAAATTACTATGTAATTTTTATTGTCATATGATAATCTACAAAATAAGCTAATAATAAAACATAATTTAGTATAATGTTATGTGATCAGAAAATGCAAAACAAATGTTCGTTTAGTTTAAAATTGCTTATAACTTAAAAAATCTACATAATAAACTACCTCTGTGCATTAACAAAAAGTTTTTCTTGAACAATTTTATTATTAAAACCTCCGAATCCTAATCCTAATATAGCTTTAACCTAGAATAAATGAACTTCAAGAATTTTGTTATATCTTATGTAATAATAATATTTTTTGGTAATGCTAAGAAAGATGAAATAGTATGCATAATTATGTGAAGTATAATTTTTTTGCTAACTTAACTAGGTTGGTCAGTTTAGCTAATTATTCAGGTCAAATAAGCTAAAACTGGATTGTTATCTAGATTTGAGTTTGAAATATGGGTCAGTTATTCAAAAAAGAAATTTATATAGATCTAATCTCTATACTTATCTAATTAGTAGTAGCTATAAAGATTATTTAAAACATGTATACTTGGCTTTAAAAAAACTATATAGCAATATACAAATCTTTATACAAAACCCTATCATCTCTAATAATTAAAGAAAGATAAATCTTAACCAACCTGTTTGCACTAATACAGCTAAGAATAAACAGTAAGATTACTTTATCTTATTTAATTTAGATGTGAAGTAATGTTATATGATAATTGTAATAATTATATTAGATTTTGATCTCAAAACAAACAGTACTGAAATATTTTTATCAGTTTTATAAAGAACATAAAAAATATTAAAGTAATATAAACTGTGTTTATAAAAGATTTGAACAAAAAATTATGATTTTGTATATGCTCTTCTTATAGATAATTTGTTACAAAATAATAAATTTTTTCTTTCTTAAAAAATAGTTCAAAATTATATCATAATATAACTTAGCATAGTTTAATAATATAAATAAGTGTCTTTATAATAATAATAAAAATTATTAGTAAAGTTTCTTTAAACTGTTTTATATAATAAACATTCTTTAAAGTCTATACTTATCTTGCAACTTCTTTTAACAATTAACTTAATCTTGTGTTAACTCATAAAACAGCTTCTACTAATTATTAAGAAATGTTATATAGCATATTTAACTTTTAAGTAACAATTAGCTACATTTGGCATATCTCTGAACTTGACCATTTAATCTTTTATAATGTTAAGTAAAAATTAGACTTTTCTGATTAAATAAAGTATACAAGTATTCTAATTATATCTGATATAAAAGAATAAGTAATATATATATATAAATCTTAATACTAAATATTTTTAATTAAAAGTTAAAAGTTAGTTAGCATAATAAAATTTAGAGTTTTTATTTTTTTGTTATTTTTATATTTGTTTTACCATACAAGATCTTATAATTTTATTGAATCTATTAGAATAATTTTGTTATACTATGTTTTTATTAGTTTTATCAAAGTTATTTAGTTTTACAGATTTTATCAATTTTATCAAGTTTCATTAGTTTTGTCAATTTTATCAGTTTTGCCAGTTTCATCAGTTTTATTATTTCATCTTTTTGATTTTTTTTGACAAAAGTCAAAACTAGGTTTTGCCTTTCAATAGTGACAAAACTTTAGATTTTATCTAATAACTGTAGTTATTTTATAAGACCTATATAATAACATATAAAAATTTATTATCAAAGATTTTTGTATACTTCAGCTAATTATTAATTTTATTATATTATATTAATAATATACAGAAATTAATGATAATAATAATACAATGTTTATTTATAATTTTTATAACTAATTATATAACTTTATACTTTATTTATTAATATAATAAATTATTAAAAAAATCTGAAATAATATAAGCCCAAATTAAACACTATATATATAAATTATTTGATTAAAATTTTAACTTAATTTTCTTTTAGATTTTACTACTCTTGATTTTTCAATAATTAGCGTTAATAATTCAATTTACTAATTTATAATGATAAGAAAATTAATTGATCTATTTAAATATAACTAACAATATTGATTTGTTATAAGTCATAAATAAATTTATTTAAATTAATTTATATAACATTAAAGATAGAACTAGAGAATTTTAATAGCAAAAATCATTAATGTTATATAGATATTAAAACTAATAATAATTACAAATAAAAGGAATTTATTTTAGATCAAATACTGTCTCTGCTGTAGTGATTTTCAAGTTATGATTATACAAATTGAACCAAAAAAATAAGTTTTATTTAAAAATTTATATAAAACTGTACAAAGATAATTCTCTGTTTCTTATACAATAATTTTAGAATTTTAAAATAATTATAACTATCAGACATTTTTAAAATAAATTTTATATAAAATTTTTTTCTTTAAAATATTTATTTTCATTTATCAACATTTAAATTTTATTTTATTTTATATTTATTTTTCCTGTTTTCTAGTCATATTAATATCCAAAAATTCTTTCAAATAAAGTTTTAATGAATTTTTTTTTAAAAAAAAGTTTCAAATAATAATAATATTATAAAATAAAACAAATAAAAATAAGTTTTACTAAAGTAGTTATATGATGCAGTAATGATAATAACTATAAATAAAAACAAGGGGAATTTACAAATAAGGGCCCGGAAAATGAAAATAATTACAAATACGGGCCTAAATTAAAAATAATTACATAT